CTTACTTTGTCCAATCATGGCTTTCACAGTGCACTGTGCTGTGATTGGGTAAGGCAATGCACCTGCCCTGTGGTCAGGTGCATTACTTTACCCAATCAGCTCTTCACGAGGCACTGTGCGCTGCATAGTGCCTTGTGGGGCGCTTGGCGGGTGAACAGCCCGTCGAACGCCCTGATAGTTCGTGTGTTTGCCGAACACACGAACTAGCGATGTTCGAGTCGAACTGTTGGTCAACTCGAACATCAAGCCCATTACTATGGTATATGATAAATTAGGTGACCAACGTTTGAATTGGGTTTCTACGATACAATTTCATGTAGAGATCTGGAGCCCATCTGCACAAAGGTCTTATCCTAAATCTGAACTCCAGCCCGGAAGCATTTCATTTTATTAGGAAAGTGCTAGCACCTTGTGCCAAAACATTTTCCATTACCCCAAAAGGTCACTCATGCTGCATGTGTAATGTTAGTTTCCTCTCTGTGTGACCATTTCTCACCTATGGAGAAATCAGCAGCTTGGCTCCCAGTCACATTTCCTCTTCACTGTTAGTTTCCAGCAGCAGAGCGGTGACATAATCAGAATGAAATGTAAGGAATATAAAGGAAGACAGCCAAAAGGAAAAGAGACAGAAATAAATAGAAGATCAGAGAGAGCCACCAAGGTAAAAAAAAACAGAAAGAGAAAACGAAATACAGCCAGAAAGAGAGCTGGAAAAAAGACACTAAAAAAGAATAAGAGAAGCAGAGATAAAGACAACTGGAAAGAAAGAAAGAGAGCGAGAAAAAGACAGTCAGAAAGAACGATAAAGAGAGACAGCCAGAAAGGAACAAGCAAAGATGACCAGAAAAAGGAAGCCGGCCAAAAAAAGAATGAAGAACCCAGAAAAAGAAAGAGGCAGCTAGAAGGAGAAAAAGAGAGAGAGGAAGAGAAAGAAAGAAAGAAAATAATGTCTGTGCACAGCGAGCGAGAGAGTAGACAGAAAGAAAGAAAGGAAAGAAAGAAAATAATGTCAGGAAAGAAAGAAAGAAAGAAAGAAAGAAAGAAAGAAAGAAAGAAAGAAAGAAAAAATAATGTCAGTGCACAAAGAGGGAGAGTAGAAAGAAAGAAAGAAAGAAAGAAAGAAAGAAAGAAAGAAAGAAAGAAAGAAAATGTCAGTGCACAAAGAAAGAAAAGAAAGAAAGAAAGAAAGAGAAAATGTCAGTGCACAAAGAAAAGAAAGAAAGAAAGAAAGAAAGAAAGAAAGAAAATGTCAGTGCACAAAGAAAGAAAAGAAAGAAAGAAAGAAAGAGAAAATGTCAGTGCACAAAGAAAAGAAAGAAAGAAAGAAAGAAAGAAAGAAAGAAAGAAAGAGAAAGAAAGAAAGAAAAAAGAAAGAAAATAATGTCAGTGCACAAAGAGAGAGAGTAGACAGAAAGAAAGAAAGAAAGAAAGAAAGAAAGAAAGAAAGAAAGAAAGAGAAATACAGCGATCATAAGAGAGTGGTAACTAAAGCAAATGACAATCAGAGACAAAGAGAGAGACAAAAGCTAAAGCTGAACTCCAGACTGAATAAATGGTCTAAATACATGCGTATTCTTACATGAGTCTTTGTGTGCTTTGTGCATGTCTTCAGGATCTGTGCAGTAATCCAGTGTGAAAGTTTGTCTCTGAGTAGGAGTTTCGCTTATTAAAGACCAGTCACTGTTGCTCCATGCCTTCTTGAAGGTGACTGGTCTTGTATCCGCCCCCTCTTGTAGTTTTCTGCAGGTAGCCTGTCATAGGTGGGGCTTACTGGGTCACTCCCACAGCTCTGCTCTCTGCACAGGCTGTGTAAAGACAGTGATGATGGAGCTGCTAATTTAACAAGCTAGTATCTGGGTTTGCAAAGGCATTTGGTGTACAACGTGGATTTTATCTTCTGTGGCTATTGAAGAATGTATGAACGTTCATGTGACTGGAATTCAGAGAAAGAAAGAGCAAGTCAAGGGATAAAAAAAAAAGACCGGCAAGAAGAAGAAAAGCCAT